AAAAAAAAAAAAAAAAAAAAGGCTGGGTATATGGCCCAGTAGTTAAGTACCCCAGGGTTTAATCCCTAGTACCCCGTCAAAAAGTGACATATATTATACACACACACACATATACATACACACATATATATATATATATAAACCAACATACTTATCAACATTTTAAAGGGGCTGGGATGATGGCTGGGGCTGGGGTGGTGGCTCAGAGGCAGAGTGCTTTCCTGGCATGTGTGAGGCCCTGAGTTCAATTCTCAGCACCACATACAAATAAATAAATTAAATAAAGGTCCATCAATGACTAAAAAATATTAAAAATTTTTAAATGTAATTCTTGATTATACCAAGCAGTGTTGTTTCCCCATGTAAAAAGCAGAGTACTTCAATAGTTCCTTTTTTTTTTGCTGACCTTTCTATTGCAAAAGTTCCCAATAATAACAAACTACCCTTTGCATAGCCACAAATCAAGTATTTGATTTTCTCAGTGCTTTTCTTTTTTGCTGGCAATGCATCAAGAAAACACTAGGAAAGCTTGTCTTCATTTCTATCCTTGTTACAAATATTTACAGGGGCATGTAAATATTTCTTCAAAAGCATGTAACTTTGTGTTTTCAATAGAAAGGAAAAAAGGGGGGAGACAAATAGAAAAGCAACCCACTCTATTATTCTCTGATGACTTTTTATCTTAATTAATAATTAATGCTCATTGAAAAAGATCAAAAAGTAGACTAATTTATCTATGATAATGATCAGAAAGTGAATTTCCTCATTTGAATATTAAGGAGAATTCAGAAAGGTAACATTAAAACAGAACCATTTGCAAAGGGGAATTAAAATAGATTTGTTTTTAATCAAGTCTTATTTTCACACTGAGAAGCTGCTGTATTTAGCATGCTAGACATGCTCAAAGAGTTCAGTCATGCGTATTGGAAGCTCAGATGGGGAAAGCATCTGAGCCTCAAACTCCAGCTCTGAATGCTAACCCAGCCACTGGAGCAAATGAATTAATATGAACATTAAGTGGAAGGACAGAATAGCTACCGGATATTTAGAAATTATTTGTTTACATATTAGGTCCCAATCTATTAAAATGAAGCTGTCTCATAAGAAAACATGCACTTAAAATATAACCATTTTTCTAAAAAGCATTATTTAAAAATGTATTCACTAGCTCTGAAATGACTAAAGTCCCAACCACAGGAGAGCCTGACAATACTAACAAATCCCCATTGTTAGAATCAGCATATTTCCCCCCAAAATAATAGAAAAATAAAAAGATAAGACCATTATTTTATTATCAAAAGTATTAGACATCTTGATATTTTATTTTATTAGACATCTTGGTATTTCTTTTTTTTTAACAAAGATTTTTTTTTAGAGAGAGAGAGAGGGAGAGAATTTTTTAATATTTATTTTTCAGTTTTCGGTGGACACAATATCTTTGTTTATATGTGGTGCTGAGGATCGAACCCGGGCCACACGCATGCCAGGCAAGCACGCTACCACTTGAGCCACATCCTCAGCCCGACATCTTGGTATTTCTGAAGGTCAAATAGTGAAAGAAACCAGCCTATTACTAGACTTGCCATATAAAAGTACACTGTGGGAAAATTATCTATACAAAAGTTACAAGAACAACAAAAATTTGAACAATTTTAGCCCTCTAGATCACTCTACAAGCTAACACTTCATAATTTACTCTTTAGACTTTAAGAAAACTAAATAATTTATTCCACATTGATTTTAGTTTTCCAGAAATTAATAGAATACCTGATTTTTCAAAAATCAATTCTTACAGTTTCTACCATTCTTTATGCCAGGAAGGTGGTTGAAATTAACCTTACCCACTGAGGAAACACTGTTAATGTATCTACATTCAGAATTACTAATTTACTAATATTTATGGAATAGAAAATAGCCAGGAAGGCTATTTACTAATGTTAATCATGGTTAATTAATATCCTATGTGGTAGAATTTGAATATAAAAATTTTATTCCTCTATATTTTCTTTCTTTTTTTTTAATATTTATTTTTAGTTTTTGGTGGACACAACATCTTTCTTTGTACGTGGTGCTGAGAATCGAACCTGGGCCGCACGCATGCCAGGCGAGCGCGCTACCGCTTGAGCCACATCCCCAGCCCTCCTCTATATTTTCTAATATTTTTTTTGGTGCCTTATTGGAAAAAGTTATAATAAAATAGTTTTTGGAAGTCAGCATCTGGGTCAATTTACTTAAGGGTTCCTCTGAAATGTTGATAACTTGACTACATTAAATTAACACATACAGGCAGGCTCATTGATAGATGTTATCCTAGTGACTCTGGAAGCTGAAGCAGAAATTCTAGCACAGCCTTGGTAACTTAGTGAGGCTCTATCTCAACATAAAAAACAAAAAGGGATGGGGATGGGGATATAGCTCAGTTGGTAGAGTGCTTGCCTCTCATGCACAAAGCCCTAAGATCTATAAAGATCTATCAACAACTAAGGAAAAAAAACTAAAAGAAAAAAAGAAAGGAATTCTGATTTCTGAAGACCCAGCACCACAGGGGGGAAAAAAAAGGGATGAGGATGTGACTTAGTGGTAAAGTGCCCCTGTGTATCAAAGAACTTTAAAATGAAAAGGTCTGGAGATACAGCTCAGTGGTAATATGTCCCTAGGTTCAATTCCAAACACCACTCACACACACACACACACACACACACACACACACACACACACACACACACAGAGAGAGAAAATATTTACATATTAACAGATCCCATATAAATAAAAATGTTATTATTCCCTATGTTAATTCAGATATTTCATAAAAACTTTTAAAACCCTACTGCTAATCTCTGAGAAAAAAACTTAAAACTCTTTCCCTATAGCTGATAGACATTAGTTAAAACACTGCTGGTCTAAGGAGATTGTTAATTTTATTTATTTAATTTGGTACTGGGGATTGAACCTGGGGATATTTTACCATTGAGCAACATCATTTTTTATTTTGAGACAGGGTCTCACTAAATTGCTCAGGGTCTCACCAAATTGCTGAGGTTGGCCTCAAATTTGGGATCCTCCGGCCTCAACCTCCAGAGTTGCTGGGATTACAAATTTGTGCCACCACATCCAGCTTAATGGACTCCCAAAAGCGATACCAAATAAAATGTGTTTAGGCTGGGCACAACTGTCCACATTTATAAATCTCAACTACACCAAGGAAGGTTAGGGCAGGAGGAGCCCCAGTTCAAGGCCAGCCTGAGCAATTCATCAAGACTCCATCTCAAAATTAAAAAAGCAAAACAAAACAAAACAAAAAACAGCTGGGGATGTACCTCAGTAGAGGAGCACCCCTGAGTTCAACCCCCAGTGCAAAAAAACAAAGAGGTGATTTATTAAGCTCCCTTACTGCTCCTCTCAGAGGTCTGGCAAAGTAGCTTGAAATAAAGAATTCAAACAAAAAAATTATTTATGTACTCATTCAAAACATCTTTTAAAACTGTTTCTATTTTAATTCAATTAGTGGCCATTTAATTGTATGCTTCTTTAGATCACAGAACTTAAATTTTGCATTAATTTGCAGGATAGCCAATGATTGCTAATTTTATATAATAGTCCATAGTTATGTGAAATCTCTTGGTTTAAAATAAAACCCCATATATTAAAGGCTAGGTAGGCCATGATGTATTTCTGACTTAAATGCCAAAATTACTTTACTTATAAGGTTTTAAAAAGTTAAATTTTAGTATTTTGAATAGAGAAGATATAGACAAAACTTTTTCAGGCCTTACAAAAATTCTAAGAGTCATCTAATTTTTTTTTTCTATTTGCTGATGGACCACATGCCTTTGTTTTTATGTGGTGCTAAGTATCAACCCAGTGCCTCACACATGCTAGGCTCAACCACTGACCACAACCCCAGCCCTAATAGATCCCTATTTAAAACTATTATTTAAAAATAACTATTTTTCTCTAAGAAAGATAACAGAATCAGTAGAAGCCATAACTAAAGATTATACTGTATGTTATCTGGTGAGAGGGCTATGGAATGAACTGAAAAAGGGACTTCATCTTTTCCTACTCCCACAAAAATAATTTACACATACACCCAAGGAGAAGCCCTACACTTAACAAAAAAAATTCATCCGAAATAAGTGGGGTTTTTTTTAAAAAATTTTAGTTGTAGATGGACACAATGTCCTCATTTATTTTTATGGGGTGCTGAGGATTGAACCCAGTGCCTCATAAGAGTGAGGCGGGCGCTCTACCACTGAGCTACAGCCCCAGCCCCAAAATAAGTGTTTTAAACCAGAGTATTTTGTCCTTCATAGTTCTCAATTTAATCATACTGTTCCCCTTAAAATAAGTTGCCAAAGATCCTAAATATTAGCATTTAAGAGCTGTAATCCTGTAACCCTGGCCACTTGGGAAGCTGAGGGGGGAGGATGACGAGTTTGAAGACCAGCCTGGGGAATTTAGGGAGACCCTGTCTCAAAAAATAAAAGGATTGCAGTTGGTAAAGTGCCCTTGGTTTCAAACCCAATGCCAAAAAAAAAAAAAAAAAAGAGTCTATTTTAAATATAAAACTCATACACTAAAAACTCTCTTCTTGGTGTCATCCTTACTGTAGAAATTCTGGTTTCTTGGGCTGGGACTGTGGCTCAGTGGTAGCCCACTTGCCTAGCATGTGTGAGGCACTGGGTTCGATTCTCAGCACCAGGTATAAATAAATAAATAATAAAGATCTATCAACAACTAAGAAAAAAAAAAATAAAAGAAGAAAGAAAGAGATTCTGATTTCTGAAGACCCGGAGTCTAAAACAGAAATTCTTCGAGTTCAAGCACATTTGACCTGGTGTTTCCAAGGCTCAAATGACAGGCGCAGGCAGGGAGGAGTTCTGTGGCTTGCAGCTCCACACGAGGAGTTCCGGTAGGAACCGGGCACCACCTCGCAGTTCCCACCAGAAAGACACGTCTCCCTTAGCGGGGCTCCGCCCAGAGCGCTGCCCGGAGCTGACCTCGGGCGCACCGCGGTCAAGGGCGCACAGCACCTGCGGGCCGGTTGCCGCCTGCCCGCCGACCAGCCGCAGACCCGCGACTCTCGGTCGCCAGCTTGCCACTGCCCGCGGGCGGCAGCACTCCGCAGGGGAAGCCAAGGCGTGCAGGTGGCGAGGTGGCCGCCTCGACCCCCGCCGGGGGACGCTAGCATTGCAAACTCGGGGCTGACGGAAGGGGACTGCGTGACGGGAAGGCTGGGGTTCCTTTTTGGCTTGTCTTTTTACAACTCTGATACAATTCCCACCACCCTCCTAAAGGAAACGCGGGTCACTCCAGTGACCACTGCCCAAGGCCGATCTTCAGAGGGAGCAGGAGCTGCACGCCCAGGCCCTCGCTCAGCGCCCGCAGGCCACCGACCCAGCGGCCAGCCCGCTGCCCAACAGCCCGGCCGCGCCCCGACCCGAGGACACCTTTGGGAGCAAGCGCTCCGGGCACCAGCCCGCCCCTCAGCCAGGGACTAGAGGCCCCACCACACTCCATACACTGCATCCAGCCCGCCGCCTTTCCAAACACGGCGTGGGCAGGAGTGGGAGGCCAGCCCGAGACCCCGGGCAGAGGCAGGGCCGATCTCCAGAACACCGTAGTACAAAACCAGCACCCTTCAACCGGTATCCCCTCGAGGGATACAGATTCCGCGAATCCGGGTTGAGGAAACAAAGGGTAAGGAACAAGAGAACGGCTCCCACACACTTCACGTCAAACACGCCACCACAGGTAGCGCGGAAAACAGCGCGAGCCGGAGGGCTTCGTGCGCATGCGCGCGGGGCCACGGCCAGAGCATTCGGGAGAACTATCCGCCCCCAGTCTCCCGTCAGAAGCCAAAAAGTCGTCCCAACACGCATGCGCAAGGACCGAATGTTGGGGGAGGGGAGACCTGTTCCCTTCATTGTGAGATCGGCTCCCGCAGGCGAGCGCGCGCGCACGTCCCACTCTCACACTTGGGCGTGCTCCGCGCTTTCCTCCAGGCCTGTCGCGCATGCGCAGGGACCGAGGCAGAGGCTGCAGCGCCTGCGGGTTTTTGTTGCATATCCCAGAGAAGTTTCTGGAAAGACGGAACCTCGGGGAAAGCGGAGGGATGGGAAACAAGCGTTTTCTGGAAAAAGCGAAAAAGCACACCGCCACCGCCCTTCTTCCACCGGTCCAGCCACGGCCAAAGCAGAACCCAAGCCTACCGAGACACCCACAGCAGGGGAAAAAGCGCGGGGACGGCGGCTGCGCTTCTCCCCCTGCCCGCGCGGACAGCTAGCGCGCTAGGGACGCTTGCGAAGCGGAAGGAGGTCGGGCCTGCGGGGCTGCCTTGGAGCGGCCCTTGCTAGGGCTCAGCGGGCCGTGGAGTCCTGACTTTGGAGCTGAGCCCCGCTGTCCTTAACTGCCCCGCTTCCGCGGCTCTGATGGCCCCTTGCCCCTGATTCACTTGGGGGAGCTGCGGGTGTGCACACGCTGGGAGAGGGGCCCGGGCGATGCCGCTCTCCAGAACGCAGGCCAGGCCTGCGGACGCGGCGTGGGGAGGGCGGGCGTGCCCGTGGCCAGGGCTCTCACGGCAGCGTTGGCGCGGGGAGGGGTCGGCACAGCCGCCTTCGGCCCGGCCGGCTGCCATTTTGTGGTGCGGCCGCCATTTCGCGCGGCCCGCGGCAGGGGCGGGGCCGGGCGGCCCCTTTGTTCTTCCCGCCCGGTCGCGACGCCTAAGAGGCGGGCTGCGTGTGCGCGCCCCGAGCGCCTGGAACGTGGGATGTGCGCCCCACCCGTGCAGGCTGGAAGGGACACGTTCTGCGCGGGGAGGCTTAGCACGCAACCGTGGGAAGGCTCCTTGGAGCTCGCGCCAGTGGCGCGCTGCGCCTAGCCGACCGCAGCGCGCGGCCGCCGCGACACCTGACGGAGGGGCTCACCCCGTGTAACCGGGAGGTTGCCCTCTGGGAAGAAAGAGCAGGCGCGGGGCGGTGTCCGGGGGCGCGGCGGGCGGGGCGCCGCGCTGGCCTCTGATTGGCCGGCCGGGCTCGCGCTGCCCCCGCTGCGGGAGGGGGCGCTCGGCGCGCAGCGCGTGTCGGGGCCGCGGCGGAACAGCCCTGAGCCCCGCGATTGTGTGGACGCGGGCGGCCCTGATACGCTCCACGCACGGTGCTGCGCCAGCACCCTTGAAAATCCTGAAAGAGCTATTGTCTCTCGTTTCAGGGGAAATATTTAAGTGTGGGTCCTGGTGCTCTTAGTGTTAACGTGTGGCTCCAATCAACAAAGCCAGGAAATTCTAGAGCAGGCTGCTAAATTTGTCTTCCAGCGTTGCTTTTGTGCGAGGGTTTTTGTTGTTGAATGACAGTTTTGTTTTTCTTCACAAGAGGCTGAGTTCATGAAGGAGCCAGTCCTTCCTGTCTCAAAGCTATGGGTGTCTCAGCTACAGGAGGCTTTGGGTTTTTTTTTTTGTTTTCCTCCTCCTTACTCTGTATAATTACAGGGATTGGTTATCTGTTTCAGTAATGGGAGGGTAAAGCTCATAATGACGGGATGAAAAGGTCAAACACGTTGTTGCTGAGGGAACCGGTCAGGATTTGGTGGCTTCCAGATGGAAGAAATATCTCAGGGCTTTTAGATTCCAGATTCTGTTCCATTGTGAGTGGGAGCATTGCATAGAGCTTTAAATTTTGTGCCATATCTTAAGAGTCTAAATATTTTTATTTTTTGAATTTTTAATATTATTTATTTTAGTTCTCGGCAGACACAACATCTTTGTTTGTATGTGGTGCTGAGGATCCAACCCGGCCGCCCGCATGCATGCCAGGCGAGCGCGCTACCGCTTGAGCCACATCCCCAGCCCCATAGAGTCTAAATATTTTTAATGCTTGCTTTTTGCATTGATTTCTAAAAAACATGTTAGGTGTTTAGTGCTATTTTGTTTTTTCTGTACATCCAAAGTGAAAGTGCATTAAAATATTAGTTTTAACGGGAATTAATATAGGCAGAATAATAAGCTGGAAGTAGAAGTTCAAAAAACAATTGCCCAGTACTTTATATAGACCCAAAGGTTCTGTTTAAGCAATTCTAATTCCTACAATTTGTTTTTATTTATGAAACGTGTATTCGCCATATCTTTGACCATTATTCAACACAGCCAGGTATGATGACATAGCTAGGGAGGCTGAGGCAGGAGGATGGATTTCAAGACCAGCTTGGGTAACTTATGGAGACCCTGTTTCAAAATAAATAAAGGGCTGGGGATGTAGCTCAGTAATAAAGTGCCCCTGGGTTCAATCTCCCAGCACCCCCACAAAAAAAAAATTTTTTTAACACAAAGTGCTGATTTGTATTTTCTTAGAGTAGTTGGTATTTTCATTGTTGACATTTTCCTGTGACCTATGGCAAATGTTTGCACAACAAATAGTTGAACAAAAGTCCAGGGATAACCTTCTCTCCTATCATAGTATTGGCCTTAAAACATTTTTCAGCTTTTAAGCCAGAAAGCCTGAACATTGCTGAACAATGATTTTGAATCACCACAATCTCATGATCTGCCCCAGGGGTGAAAAGGCCTTTGTATATGTAGTCCTAGATCTCATTTGAGTTTAATCCAGCCAGACAGAACTAGTGAATTCCAGAATAGCCAATTCAATTCGTTGTCCCTTTAATATTTGTTTTTTGTTCTAAACTGAGGTGTCTGAATTAATTTGTACCCCATTTTGTGAGTAGGTAATCTTTGGTTCTACCAAGTTCCCTGAGACGACCAGTGAAAAATAGAAATGGTATTAGCTAGGGCTCCTTTGGCTCATATATTTGGATTTGTTTATTTTTTTGCATTTGGTGAAATTTGTGTGCTTTTCTTCTGAACAATAGGAACACTAAGCTTCTCTGTCCATTGTTCCAGGAAAGTACAGCCTTTCATGCCAAATTTTGACGTAAGTTAAAACAATAACAATAATAATAACCTTTTCCTGGTAAAGATAAATGAGTTCTTTTAGAGACTTTAGTAATTTGGGAAGTCCTTCAAAATATTTTTGGCAGCACTTAGCACTCCCACATACTGTAATAAGTTTTTTCCCCTTTGAGGCAAAAATGTTTGGATAATTGGTTGTAAAATGCTTCCCTACGCTTCAGAAGTATTCAATCTGAAGGAACAAAATCTTGCTGCCAACAGTTTGCTTCTTAGAAAAAAAAAGAAACATCTATAAAAGTAAAAAAAAAAAAAAAAACCTCCTTAAAACATCCAACATTTGTTTGTCCTGTTGAAGTGGAAAAGGTCATTCCTAGAATAAAATTCTGTTCTGACAACTCTGCAGATTATATGGAATCTATAGATTGGTCATTCTGGTATCATGATTTAATGGCCTACTTAACTACTATAAAGTCAGGATTTTAATTCAGTTATCCGTATAGTAAGCATCAATTAAATACTAGATGCAACTCCTGATGCTTAGAATATATCACTGACTAAAAACAAGACAAAAATCTTTGTTCTTATGGAGCTTGTTTTGGTGGAGGGTGGAAGGAGGCAGTGGCAGAAAAATATAATAAGAAAATTTAAAAATAGGGCTGGTAAATGCTAGAAAAATACAGAGGGGAAGTATAGGCTGAGGATGGAGCTCACTAGGAGAGTGCTTGCCTAGCAAGACCCTGGGATTTTTTTCTGCAATCCCTCCACCCCTTGTAGTATTGGGGATTGAACCTGGGACAGTCTACCACTGAGCTACATCCCCAGCCTTCTTTATTTTTTATTTTGAGATAGGGTCTTGGTAAATTGTCCAAGCTGACCTCAACTAGAGATTTGCAATTCAGGAAGTCTGGATAAAGAAATTTTGCAAACTACAGGAGTAAATTTCAGTATTTTCAATATGAGATGTTTATTAGATGTTCAAGTGGAGGTCTCAGGGGCTGGGGATATAGCTCAGTTGGTACAGTGCTTGCCTTGCATGCACAAGGCCCTGGGTTAGATCCCCAGCACAAAAAACCAAACAATCAACTGGAAGTCTTATGGGTATATGGGTCTTGATTTCTGAAGTAAGTTTTGGATCTATGTATTTTCATATACGTTACGTATGAAATATATTACATGTGCACCTATACCATAAATATACACACAAGTCACACTTCTCTTAACAATAGGGATGTGTTGCTAGATAATTTCTTCCTTACAAGAACATCATAGAGTGTACTTACACAAACTAAGAT